CAGTCCTACTGTCACGCGTCTCCTTGCTACTGTTGTCACTGACCCTTCCTTTGAGTCCACTGCTGCGTCTGCCCTAGTTACTGAGCTCGTCAACTTTGCTGCTCGCTGTCGTCTAGACTACGCTGCTAGTCTTGTTGCTGAGTCTGAGTCTGTCTGTCCTCCGTCCGTCGGGGGTGAGTGTGCCCTTGGCACGGACGTCCTTGAGGACAGGCAGGAGGAGTTCCAGTGTTTGGCTGCTGCTTCACCTCATCTCGTGTCCGTACTGCTTACCCCTGAGGGAGACCCGGATGCACTTGACATCCCGACTCCGCGCTCTTACGCGGAGGCGATAGAGGGTCCCTACTCCTCTCAGTGGCAGGCAGCTATGGACGCAGAGATGGCTTCCTGGAAGTCCACAGGCACCTACGTTGACGAGGTTCCCCCGCCTGGGGCGAACATCGTCAGTGGCATGTGGATTTTCAGGGTGAAGCGGCCGCCGGGTTCTCCGCCTGTCTTCAAGGCGCGTTACGTGGCTTGTGGCTTCAGTCAGCGGCAGGGAGTTGACTACTTTCAGACCTTCTCTCCCACCCCGAAGATGACCACTCTTCGGGTACTGCTGCACATAGCTGCTCACCGCGACTACGAGCTGCACTCTCTTGACTTCAGCACTGCTTTCTTGCAGGGCAGCCTGCACGAGGAGATCTGGCTGCGTCGCCCACCTGGCTTCACTGGGTCTTTTCCTCCTGGCACCCAGTGGAGCCTCCGGCGGCCAGTCTACGGTCTCCGCCAGGCACCGCGTGAGTGGCACGACACACTGAGGACTACACTTGCGGCTCTTGGGTTTGCTCCCTCTACTGCCGACCCGTCGCTGTTTCTGCGCACCGACACTTCTTTGCCGCCGTTCTACATCCTCGTGTACGTCGACGACTTGGTCTTCGCCACAGCTGACACTGCTGGACTCGCCCACGTGAAGTCCGAGCTGCAGAAAAGACACACGTGCACAGACCTGGGTGAACTGCGCAGCTACCTTGGCTTGCAGATCACCCGGGACAGAGCACGCCGCACCATTACCCTGACTCAGTCACACATGGTGCAGCAGGTCCTTCAGCGCTTCGGCTTCACGTACTCCTCGCCTCAGGCCACTCCTCTGCCTTCGGATGAGTCCGTAGAGTCGAGTGGCCCGTACCCGGAGCTTGTTGGCTGCCTCATGTACCTGATGACCTGCACACGACCTGACCTTGCGTACCCTCTTAGCATTCTTGCACGCTATGTTGCTCCTGGGAGACACGGACCGGAGCACATGGCTGCAGCGAAGAGGGTGTTGCGCTACTTGTGCAGTACGTCGGGCATGGGGCTTGTGCTTGGAGGGCAGAGTCCAGTGGTCCTCACTGGGCACGCAGACGCTTCTTGGGCTGACGACCAGGCTACGCAGCGGTCGTCACAGGGTTACACCTTCAGCCTTGGTTCCGGCTCTGTTTCGTGGCGGGCTACCCGCTCGTCTTCTGTTCTCGGCTCCAGTTGTGAGGCTGAGATCTACGCCGGGGCCATGGCTGCACAGGAGCTTCGCTAGCTCACCTACCTGCTGACTGACCTCGGAGAGCCGCCTCGTTCTCCTCCAGTGCTGTACGTAGACAACAAGGCCATGCTGGCCTTGTGTCGAGAGCAGAGACTGGAGCACAGAACGAAGCACATTGCTCTCCGCTACTTCCTTGCTCGTGAGCTACAGCAGCGTGGTCAGCTGCGGCTTGCGTACGTGGCCTCTGAGGCCAACACTGCTGATATCTTCACCAAGGCACTTGCGCCTTGTGATCATCAGCGCTTCTGTACTCAGCTTGGTCTTGTGCCTACCTTGCCTCACTTGCTCACCCCTTGACCTTGTTTGTACTGTTGCATATATATATACACCTGCTCTTGCTTGTCTAGTCTTATGTATATATATATGCAATCCTGCATGTGAACTGGCCTTGTGGCCTTGAACTTGTGCTCGGAATGTGTGGTGACTTTGTGATCCACCCTGAGCTTGTTTTGCTTTGCTTGACTGGTCTTGTGACCCCTTGTTCTCCCCCACTTTGCCTATGGGGGTGTGTCAGATTTATATGACATAGCTACTGTAGGCTATAGTGGGGTAGCACATATGGGGTACAGTTTTTCTAGGGTTTGCTTTTTGTACCCAACTTTCACTTAGTCATTCCATTCCTGTTTTCTTAATTCACACTAGGAGCGACGGGCCGAGGCGACGGGCCTAGGGGCGACGGGTCGCGACGGGCCTAGGGGCGACGGGTCGCGACGGGCCTAGGGGCTTGGCCTAGGGGTCAACGGGTCGCGACGGGCAGTAGGGGCAGCACGATGGCTGCAGAGGGCGGCTAGCGGGGTAGCGCTGTGGTGGGCCCAAGGAAAAAAAACGGTCCTAGCGAAGGACTTGCTCTGATACCATGTCAGAAGAATGAACGAGAATGAATGAACTATGAAAGAGTTGGGTACAAGTACTAACCCTAATTGGGTTGTACCCCTTATGGGCTACCCTACTATAGCCTACACAAATGTAAGCACTATAATATTCTGACACGGCGAGCGGGCCGCAGGCAGGCGGCGAGCGGGCTGCAAGGGCGGCTAGCGGGTCGCGAGCAAGCGGCGATCGGGCGACAGGGGCGGCGAGCGAGCCGCAGGCAGGCGGCGAGCAAGCTGCAGGGGCGGCGAGCGGGCCATAGGGGCAGCAAGCGGGCTGCAGTGGCAGCGAGCGGGCCGCGAGCAAGCGGCGAGCGAGCAACAGGGGCGGCGAGCGAGCCGCAAGCGGGCAGCGAGCGGGCCTTAGGGGCGGTGGGCGGGCCTTAGGGGCAGCGAGCAGGCCGCCAGGGCGGCGAGCGGGCCTTAGGGGCGGTGAGCGGGCCTTAGGGGCGGCGAGCGGGCCGCAAGGGCGGCTAGCGGGCCGCAAGGGTGGCGAGCGGGCCTAGGGGCGGCGGGCGGGCTGCAAGCGGGCGGCGCGCGGGCTGCAGGGGCGGCGCGCGGGCCTCAAGGAAGTGGCGAGCGGGCTGCAGGGGCAGCGCGCTGGCTGCAAGGACGGCTCGTGGGCTGCTAGGGGCAGCGCGACGAGCTGCTAGGGGCGGCGCGACGAGCTGCTAGGGGCGGTGCCGCAGCCAACAGGGCGGCGCGTCAGTAGGGTAGGGCGGCAGGGCAGCTAGTGGGGCAGCTCTATGGTGGGCCCTAAAAAAAAATTCGGTCCTGCTCTGAAACCATGTTAAAACTAACGAACGAGAATGGATGCATTGAAGAGAAGTTGGGTACAAGTACTAACCCTAATTGGGTTGTACCCCTTATGGGCTACCCCACTACAGCCTACACAATGTAAGCTCTATATAAGTTTGACATTATGTACCCCAACCAACCTTAGTCAAACCATCATTCTATTCTTAACAATTCAGTTATTGACATTAACCTAGCGTTCGATACCATGAAGAATGTGGGTACAAATATGAAACCCTAAGACTTATGTACCCCCTATAGTTATCTTCACTATCGCCAAACATACAAATATGTTTTGACATTCCCTGCCCCAAAGTGTTGTTGGAATGACTGGACATTATTATGCCCAGATTTGCAAACAAGAACTCCCAATCACGGAAGCCCCCCTCCAAACTTCAGAGCACATCAGAGCAAGTTCCAGTCGACGGAACTCAAATGATTTTTGCAGGCTGACGGTTGAAAGCAAAAATATTATTCAAAAGAAAAGAATGTTATGCAGTCGTACGTATTCTATTTCCATCTGTGCAATCCTCAAGATTATGAGTGAGTGTCCCACAAGATCGTTTTCAGCCCATGAATCACTGTTCAGACTGGTGGGTCATGGTTCAAAGAGGTGGAACAGACAAACCGCTCTAAAAGGGCTTTCGTGGCAAGCATAAGGGTGTCTTCAGGCGCGGCCGTAAGCACAAATAGAAGGCTTTCATGTTCATGAGTATTGATATGCTTCTAACCCATCCATATCTGAATTTGCGCACGAGAATGTGCTGCTTTCGTAATGTGCTGAAATAATCAGCATTGTATGCATTCGCCATTCCCAGTTGCCATTGTCTGGAGTTCTTGTTGTCTTGGACCTTTCGCCCATGTTTTGTTTATTTCGCGCAAAGTCTGTTCTCTTACCAGTATAACTAGGGCAGCAGCAGCTGCAGAGCGGAGGGCAGCAGGAGCTGCAGAGCGGAGGGCAGCAGGAGCTGCAGAGCGGAGGGCAGCAAGAGCCGGTTTGGGTGTTGGATGTGGAGATGGCGGACGAGGCTTGCACCGATGAGCTGGAATCAAGCCCCATGGAGGGGGAGAATGCCAACCCTGATTCCCCGGACCAAGCGGAAAGGCCCCGAGCGCGGGGCCGGGGCCGGAGGTGACGGGCAACCAAACTGCAGCAGCTGCAGAGCGGAGGGCAGCAGCAGCTGCCGAGCGGAGGGCAGCAGCAGCTGCAGAGCGGAGGGCAGCAGCAGCTGCCGAGCGGAGGGCAGCAGCAGCTGCAGAGCGGAGGGCAGCAGCAGCTGCCGAGCGGAGGGCAGCAGCAGCTGCAGAGCGGAGGGCAGCAGCAGCTGCCGAGCGGAGGGCAGCAGCAGCTGCAGAGCGGAGGGCAGCAGCAGCTGCCGAGCGGAGGGCAGCAGCAGCTGCAGAGCGGAGGGCAGCAGCAGCTGCCGAGCGGAGGGCAGCAGCAGCTGCAGAGCGGAGGGCAGCAGCAGCTGCCGAGCGGAGGGCAGCAGCAGCTGCAGACCGGAGGGCAGCAGCAGCTGCCGAGCGGAGGGCAGCAGCAGCTGCCGAGCGGAGGGCAGCAGCAGCTGCAGAGCGGAGGGCAGCAGGAGCTGCAGAGCGGAGGGCAGCAGGAGCTGCAGAGCGGAGGGCAGCAGGAGCTGCAGAGCGGAGGGCAGCAGGAGCTGCAGAGCGGAGGGCAGCAGGAGCTGCAGAGCGGAGGGCAACAGCAGCTGCCGAGCGGAGGGCAGCAGCAGCTGCAGAGCGGAGGGCAGCAGGAGCTGCCGAGCGGAGGGCAGCGGCAGCTGCCGAGTGGAGGGCAGCGGCAGCTGCAGAGCGGAGGGCAGCAGGAGCTGCAGAGCGAAGGGCAGCAGGAGCTGCAGAGCGGAGGGCAGCAGCAGCTGCAGAGCGGAGGGCAGCAGCAGCTGCAGAGCGGAGGGCAGCAGCAGCTGCCGAGCGGAGGGCAGCGGGAGCTGCAGAGCGGAGGGCAGCAGCAGCTGCAGAGCGGAGGGCAGCAAGAGCCGGTTTGGGTGTTGGATGTGGAGATGGCGGACGAGGCTTGCACCGATGAGCTGGAATCAAGCCCCATGGAGGGGGAGAATGCCAACCCTGATTCCCCGGACCAAGCGGAAAGGCCCCGAGCGCGGGGCCGGGGCCGGAGGCGACGGGCAACCAAACTGCAGCAGCTGCAGAGCGGAGGGCAGCAGCAGCTGCCGAGCGGAGGGCAGCAGCAGCTGCAGAGCGGAGGGCAGCAGCAGCTGCCGAGCGGAGGGCAGCAGCAGCTGCAGAGCGGAGGGCAGCAGCAGCTGCCGAGCGGAGGGCAGCAGCAGCTGCAGAGCGGAGGGCAGCAGCAGCTGCCGAGCGGAGGGCAGCAGCAGCTGCAGAGCGGAGGGCAGCAGCAGCTGCCGAGCGGAGGGCAGCAGCAGCTGCAGACCGGAGGGCAGCAGCAGCTGCAGAGCGGAGGGCAGCAGGAGCTGCAGAGCGGAGGGCAGCAGGAGCTGCAGAGCGGAGGGCAGCAGGAGCTGCAGAGCGGAGGGCAGCAGGAGCTGCAGAGCGGAGGGCAGCAGGAGCTGCAGAGCGGAGGGCAACAGCAGCTGCCGAGCGGAGGGCAGCAGCAGCTGCAGAGCGGAGGGCAGCAGGAGCTGCCGAGCGGAGGGCAGCGGCAGCTGCCGAGTGGAGGGCAGCGGCAGCTGCAGAGCGGAGGGCAGCAGGAGCTGCAGAGCGAAGGGCAGCAGGAGCTGCAGAGCGGAGGGCAGCAGCAGCTGCAGAGCGGAGGGCAGCAGCAGCTGCCGAGCGGAGGGCAGCGGGAGCTGCAGAGCGGAGGGCAGCAGCAGCTGCGGAGCGGAGGGCAGCAAGAGCCGGTTTGGGTGTTGGATGTGGAGATGGCGAACGAGGCTTGCACCGATGAGCTGGAATCAAGCCCAATGGAGGGGGAGAATGCCAACCCTGATTCCCCGGACCAAGCGGAAAGGCCCCGAGCGCGGGGCCGGGGCCGGAGGCGACGGGCAACCAAACTGCAGCAGCTGCAGAGCGGAGGGCAGCAGCAGCTGCCGAGCGGAGGGCAGCAGCAGCTGCAGAGCGGAGGGCAGCAGCAGCTGCCGAGCGGAGGGCAGCAGCAGCTGCAGAGCGGAGGGCAGCAGCAGCTGCCGAGCGGAGGGCAGCAGCAGCTGCAGAGCGGAGGGCAGCAGCAGCTGCCGAGCGGAGGGCAGCAGCAGCTGCAGAGCGGAGGGCAGCAGCAGCTGCCGAGCGGAGGGCAGCAGCAGCTGCCGAGCGGAGGGCAGCAGCAGCTGCAGAGCGGAGGGCAGCAGGAGCTGCAGAGCGGAGGGCAGCAGGAGCTGCAGAGCGGAGGGCAGCAGGAGCTGCAGAGCGGAGGGCAGCAGGAGCTGCAGAGCGGAGGGCAGCAGGAGCTGCAGAGCGGAGGGCAACAGCAGCTGCCGAGCGGAGGGCAGCAGCAGCTGCAGAGCGGAGGGCAGCAGGAGCTGCCGAGCGGAGGGCAGCGGCAGCTGCCGAGTGGAGGGCAGCGGCAGCTGCAGAGCGGAGGGCAGCAGGAGCTGCAGAGCGAAGGGCAGCAGGAGCTGCAGAGCGGAGGGCAGCAGCAGCTGCAGAGCGGAGGGCAGCAGCAGCTGCAGAGCGGAGGGCAGCAGCAGCTGCCGAGCGGAGGGCAGCGGGAGCTGCAGAGCGGAGGGCAGCAGCAGCTGCAGAGCGGAGGGCAGCAAGAGCCGGTTTGGGTGTTGGATGTGGAGATGGCGGACGAGGCTTGCACCGATGAGCTGGAATCAAGCCCCATGGAGGGGGAGAATGCCAACCCTGATTCCCCGGACCAAGCGGAAAGGCCCCGAGCGCGGGGCCGGGGCCGGAGGCGACGGGCAACCAAACTGCAGCAGCTGCAGAGCGGAGGGCAGCAGCAGCTGCCGAGCGGAGGGCAGCAGCAGCTGCAGAGCGGAGGGCAGCAGCAGCTGCCGAGCGGAGGGCAGCAGCAGCTGCAGAGCGGAGGGCAGCAGCAGCTGCCGAGCGGAGGGCAGCAGCAGCTGCAGAGCGGAGGGCAGCAGCAGCTGCCGAGCGGAGGGCAGCAGCAGCTGCAGAGCGGAGGGCAGCAGCAGCTGCCGAGCGGAGGGCAGCAGCAGCTGCCGAGCGGAGGGCAGCAGCAGCTGCAGAGCGGAGGGCAGCAGGAGCTGCAGAGCGGAGGGCAGCAGGAGCTGCAGAGCGGAGGGCAGCAGGAGCTGCAGAGCGGAGGGCAGCAGGAGCTGCAGAGCGGAGGGCAGCAGGAGCTGCAGAGCGGAGGGCAACAGCAGCTGCCGAGCGGAGGGCAGCAGCAGCTGCAGAGCGGAGGGCAGCAGGAGCTGCCGAGCGGAGGGCAGCGGCAGCTGCCGAGTGGAGGGCAGCGGCAGCTGCAGAGCGGAGGGCAGCAGGAGCTGCAGAGCGAAGGGCAGCAGGAGCTGCAGAGCGGAGGGCAGCAGCAGCTGCAGAGCGGAGGGCAGCAGCAGCTGCAGAGCGGAGGGCAGCAGCAGCTGCCGAGCGGAGGGCAGCGGGAGCTGCAGAGCGGAGGGCAGCAGCAGCTGCAGAGCGGAGGGCAGCAAGAGCCGGTTTGGGTGTTGGATGTGGAGATGGCGGACGAGGCTTGCACCGATGAGCTGGAATCAAGCCCCATGGAGGGGGAGAATGCCAACCCTGATTCCCCGGACCAAGCGGAAAGGCCCCGAGCGCGGGGCCGGGGCCGGAGGCGACGGGCAACCAAACTGCAGCAGCTGCAGAGCGGAGGGCAGCAGCAGCTGCCGAGCGGAGAGCAGCAGCAGCTGCAGAGCGGAGGGCAGCAGCAGTTGCCGAGCGGAGGGCAGCTGCAGCTGCAGAGCGGAGGGCAGCAGCAGCTGCCGAGCGGAGGGCAGCAGCAGCTGCAGAGCGGAGGGCACCAGCTGCCGAGCGGAGGGCAGCAGCAGCTGCAGATCGGAGGGCAGCAGCAGCTGCAGAGCGGAGGGCAGCAGGAGCTGCAGAGCGGAGGGCAGCAGCAGCTGCAGAGCGGAGGGCAGCAGCAGCTGCAGAGCGGAGGGCAGCAGCAGCTGCCGAGCGGAGGGCAGCGGGAGCTGCAGAGCGGAGGGCAGCAGCAGCTGCAGAGCGGAGGGCAGCAGCAGCTGCAGAGTGGAGGGCAGCAGCAGCTGCAGAGCGGAGGGCAGCAGCAGCTGCAGAGCGGAGGGCAGCAGCAGCTGCAGAGCGGAGGGCAGCAGCAGCTGCAGAGCGGAGGGCAGCAGGAGCTGCAGAGCGGAGGGCAACGGCAATTGCAGAGCGAAGGGCAGCAGCAGTTGCAGAGCGGAGGGCAGCAGCAGCTGCAGTGCGGAGGGATGGAGCTTGCAAGGCCGTTAGAGGGGGGCATGGAGACGGAGTCTAGCAGGAGGGTCTTGCCGGCGTGTTCGAGTGGAGAGGAGCACCCAGACCCTACATTGACACCCCCGCCCCGCATTCCGTGCGAAACCTGTTATCGCACGTTCACGGAGAGAGGAAAGGCCACACGCCATATGTCGGCCTGCAGGGCAGCGGACGCCCAGCGTCGTGCTCAGGCGCTTGGGTTGACCCGCGACGTCACAGATGACTCGGACGGCGAACCCCCGCCACCACGTGATATCAGTGAAGAGGTATGGGCCGCAGTTCCTACATGGGACTGGGAGTCGTTTTTTGGGATCGAATTGGTGCCAGGGAGAATCATGCGTCGTATCCCACAGCGCGCTAGATTGGGGGTGCTTGATGCACTGTCTTGTGTCCTGCAGCGGCTACAGTTAAAGGCAGCAGACGAGGCGGCGTCCTTGGTCTTTTTGGCCTTCCCTCGTCTTATCTTGGGGATGCCAACTGGGCAAGGCCAGGGGCATAGGGCGGCAATCAGGGAGCGGTTGGAGAAGTTTTGGGTCGGGGAGTGGCGGGAGCTGTTTGAGTTGGCGGTGGCGGTAATGCAACCTGCGGCGCGTCCTTTGTCCTTCACCCCCCCCGAGCATGATCCTGATGCGGTGCGCCTGGCTCGCTGCCGCACAAGGTGCAAAGTGGGAGAATGGAGTCGGGGTTTGGCGTGTCTTACTGCCGGTAGCATCGCTCAGCCCTCTCAGCACATGGTGGACGCGCTGCGAGCGAAACACCCATCGAGCGAGACCGCCATTCCGGAGTGGTTGCAGGAGGAGATAGTTGAGCCTTCCCTTATCCCGCAGCTCTCAGTGGAGGTACTTGGTCAGGCGATCCACTCTGCGGCTAGGGCGTCGGCACCAGGACCGTCGGGGTGGGTGACGGAGCACCTGCGCGACACTTTTCTCTCTGAGCCCGCATACCTGCCTCACCTGCTAGGAGTCTTCACCCAGTGGACCAAGGGAGAGGTAGCGGAGCGCGTGCGACCCTGGCTCACTCCGTCCAACCTTGTGGGCCTGTCGAAGCCGAATGGTGACGTTCGCCCGGTGGCTATAGGCGAGGTGCTCCCCCGCATACTATCTCGGGCCCTATGCATCGTGCTTCGGCCGAAGATGATGTCGCACTTTGCGCCGTGTAACCAGCTAGGAGTCGGATCCAGGTCGGGAGTGGAAGTCCTCGCACATGCCTTTCGTTCTGCCATCTCTACTCACCCGTCATGGTGCGCGCTTCAAATTGATGTGGCGAATGCTTTCAACTCCTTCCATCGGCGGGAAATGTTTGAAGGACTTCGACAGTCGCCTTTTGCGGGTTTGATCCCATTCCTGCGTGTCTTCTACGGCACTCCTAGCGACCTCTACTTCCGTGCGGGCCCCTTCGTCGAAGCTTTGGCTTCAGAGCGAGGATCGAGGCAAGGGGACCCATTGGGGCCGTTTCTGTTCGCGTTCACACAGCAGCTGGTTATGGAGCCCACCAAACAAGAATTCGCCGACCTACTCTTTCTCAGCTACGCCGATGATACGTACATCTTGGGGCCTAGGGAGCGGGTGCTAGCAGCTTATGAGGTCTTGCGGGAACGACTGGGCGGGCTTGGTCTGGAGGTGCAGCCGCATAAGTGCAAGCTTTGGGAGCGAGGGGTGGACCAGGAGGGAGAGGTGAGGAACGAGACCGTCCCGCCCGGCATGCAGCAAACATGGACGGGGCTCACCGTAGTGGGGGGTTCCTATTGGGGAGGAGGAGTGGGAGGTGGCCAGCTTGCGAGGCCGGCTGATGCAGCTGCATGCACCTGTCCCTTGGCTTCCTTTGCTCGACCACCCACAGATTGCGTCCCATCTGCTGGCGATCGCAGTGTCAGCGCGCCCGATTTACCTCACAAGGACGATGCCTCCACGGCCTGAGGTTGTGGAGGCTTTCCGCGACTGGGACACGAAGCTTGAGGATTGTTTTGAGCAGCTGTTTCCAGATAGCACCAGAGATCATGATTCGGCAAGGTCGCAGATGGCCCGTCTACAGCTGCACCTTCCAGCCAGACTTGGAGGGTTTGGCATTCGATCTGCAGCTGACCTTAGCCCTCTGTCGTACGCATGTGGTTGGTGCCAGGCAGTGAGCGATGTGGCTCGGATGGGGGTGGCAGGGGAGGAACGGATGTTTGAGGAGTTTTTCCGCACGTCCGAGGCTACGACCTTGCTGGATCCTTGGTTTGCGAGAGCAGTGGAGCTGCTGCCACAGTCGGTCAGGCAGGAGATGCCACCCCTAGCCTTATGCACCGCTGACCCCCCTGTGCTGCTTTTCCCCACACAACACCGTCGCCTAGCGGTTGAGAGTCTGCAGACTCTTCGGGGTATGGCCCACGACGACGCCACCATGGCCCGTTTGACATCCCTTCAGGGCCCGGGGGCAGGGGCGTGGGTCTCCGCCGTCCCTTCGCACGAAGAGGCTACCTTCACCGCAGCCGAGTGGAGCATCTGTGCGTCCATGCGCCTAGGCCTCCCCATACAGCAGCTGATAGTCGCCGGCAAGTGCGCGTGTGGGTTTGAGTTTGCTGATCCCTCTGACCCGCATCATGCCCTTCGCTGCAGTACGCACCTTCTCGTGTTCCCGACGCGGTTAAGTTTGTGGTGGCGAAGATAGCTAAAGGGGCGGGTGGGGTCGTGACCATGGAAGACGACACGTTGCTGCCAGGGAAGAGGGTGGATGTGGCGGTGCGGAGACTGAGGGAGGGGGAGGAGCATGCGCTGGAGGTTAGTGTGGTGGACCCTATCTCGTTGTCCGCGCAGCACCATGGACAGATTGGTCGCAAGGTGGGTTTTGCCGCTAGAGAGAGGGAAAAGCGGAAGGCGGCGGACTACAAATTGCTTCTGCAGCGACATAGGGGAGTGCAGTTTACACCTCTCATTGCTGAGACATGGGGTTGCCTGGGGGGGAGTTTTGGGCGGTGGCTTAAGAAACAGGGCGACGCGCAGATTGAGGTAGCGAAGACGAAAGGGGCGGCGAGAGCTACGGGGAAAGGTTTCTCGGCTTACTTGCTTGGATCACTTAAAGCGGCCATAGGTGTGGCTTTGCAGCGGGCTCAGGCGCGTGTGATCTTGTTGCGCGCGGCGTCGATGATGAGAGGCCCAGAGGCTGTTTCGGTGGAGCGGGAGGATTTTGAGGAGGAGATGGGATGGGATGCTCCGTGGGCGGATGCGCCCTATTTGGTGGACATGCGGGTTTAGAGGGTGGGTTTAGGTGAGGGGGGTGGGGGGTTTGGTTAGATGGGGCGTATTGTTGGGGTGTCTCGTTGGGGTGTCTCGTTGGGGTGTCTCGTTGGGGGTATCTCGTTGGGGTGTCTTTTGGGGTTCCTTATGTGCTGTTCTACTGGGGTGTTCTTGAGGCTGCGTTTTCAAAAAAAAAAAAAAAAAAAAAAAAAAAACTTCGCCAGGCCTGGTCAACACTTCGGCGGTTTATTTACGTGTTCCAGATCCAGAGTGGACAATGGTAACTTAGTATTCTTCACTGCCATCAAGCAACTTATCATTTCTGTGATAACTGTACGGAGCTACATAAGATTAAACAAGGAACAATAACTAGCGAACTGAAAATACTACAAGAAGTTCTCTTATTACTATTAGGGAACTAAGATCCAAAGAAATTCCAGCCTGTGCAGCAGAAATTGCTGTGAGCACCTAAGAAAGAATCACAGCCTACGTAGTGTGGAAGGAGCTTGACACTGTTCGTTTAAGGCCCGAGTACAGTTCAAGATAGAAGAACTTGGAATCTCAAATAACAGAGTTACGGTACCTTCCTTGTTTTGAAAGAAAGATGGCGGCGACCCTGGGAGATCTTTATGTGAAAACGAATCTCAGCTGACTTGTGTCCCTAAAACCAAATCTCAAGTGTTGAGGTGGTTTCATTCCAACAATAATCTTCCCCTCGTCGCTTGCGCTTCCTTTCCTCTGACCCATTCGTTCCCAGTAACTTATTGTAGTTAAAACCAATCTCGTGTTTCGTGCCATGCCATGCCATGCCATCCACATTATATCCCATTTTACTTAGTGGCATCCACGTTCACAGCCCCTCCCAGCACAGCTTTAATCGCTCGCACCAGCATCTCAATTTTGAAGGGTTTAGTAGCATACCCATCCATACCGGCTTCAAAGCACTGCTCCTTGTACCCAGCCATTGCATGTGCTGTCAACCCCACTATGCCTATCCTCCCTCCCTCTCCCCCTCCCCCTCCCCCTCCACCCGCCCCTCCCCCTCCCCCTGACCCTCCCCCTTCTTTCCCCTCCTTCTGCCCGTGCTGCTGCCCCTTGTGGTGCTGCCGTGCTGCTTTGCTGCCCGACAGACGCCTCCTGGAAGCTTCCAGCTGGCGAATGCGGCGAGTGGCCTCCAGCCCATCCATCACGGGCATCTGAAAGGAAATGAAAGTTGGTGAAGGAGGAAAGCATCTTTCTTTAGATCGATTAATATCAGATCAAGAATGCGGCAAGTAATCTCCATCCCATCCATGACCGGCATCTGGATTAGGGTTTGGACAGAAATGAAGAGGGGGGGAAGGTGGGGGGTGTAAAGTGTGCTTTGAGACATTTCAGGCTTCCAGTCTATATATTCCGGGCATCTGGATTAGGGTTTGGTCGAATCGAATTGAAGCCGGGGAGGGGAGCGGAGGAAGGGGGTGGGGAAGGAACGTGTGGGAAGAGCAGCAAGGGGATCGCCACTGCCAAAACGGTTAGGGTGGGGAGGGAGAAGAGAGGAGACACAAAAAGAAAAGACTAGGCTCTTCATGCCCCGTTCCCAGTTCAGAAATGAAGGACCAGGAATGATGGTGGGCATCGAGACAGGGACAATGATGGTGGTGGTGGCGGCGGGTGGCGGCAGGGGTGGCGGAGTCGATAACTCCACTGCTGCCGACGATAGCAAAAACTATGCCGACAAACACAACACACCTGAATGTCCATGAGAATGAGGTCGAACGACGCCGCCCGTTCCTCCATGGCAGTGAGAGCGCGCTGGCCATTTCCCACCACCTCGACCCGAGCGCCCTGCTTGGAGAGGGCATGTGTGGCCACGCCCTGGTTCACCAGGTTGTCCTCTGCCAAGAGAATGCGCACCCCTGCCAGCATGGCCACCAGAGGCCCGCTCTTGTCACCCGACAACAACGGTTCACGAGAGCTCACCTGAATGTCCATGAGTATGAGATCGAAAGAATCCGCCCGTTCTTCCACAGCAGTGAGAGCGAGCTGCCCATTGCCCACCACCTCGACCCGCGCTCCCTGCTTGGAGAGGGCGTGTGTGGCCACGCGCTGGTTCACCAGGTTGTCCTCTGCTAGGAGAATGCGCACCCCTGCCAGCATCGCCACCAGAGGCCCGCTCTTGTGCCGCGCTGCTACTGCTCCTGCTGCTGCTGCTCCTGCTGGTCCCACTGCCGCTGTTCCTGCTGCAGTGCTGCTCACTGCCTGCTGCTGCTGCGGCTGCTGCTCATGCTGCTCATGCTGCCCCTCGTGATGGTGATGATGGCGATGGTGGTGTTGATGCTTCTTGTGCTGCCTCTCCCCTGCCTGCTGCTCTGAGCTGCACCTATCATCGCCACCCGTGCCAGCAGTAGCAGCACTGCCATCCCCACTGCCCTGCCCAAGCCCAGTCGGAGACAGGCTTGTGCTGCTGCGGCTGCTCCTGCTGCTTCTACTGCCTCCTGCATTTCCACTCACAGCAGAGCTCATATAGCTTTTCCGAGGCTCCTCAAGGCTGCTCCTGCTGCTCCTACTGCCTCCAGGATTCCCACTCACAGCAGCAGTGCTCATAGAGCTTTTCGGAGGCGCCTCAAAGCTGCTTCTGCTGCTGCTGAGGCTGCCGCTGCTGCTGATCCCTTGCCCACTCTTACCTCCCCTGCTGATAGGCCTGCTCATAGCAACGGCAGCTGGAGAATCCTTCTCAGACGCACCAGGGGTGGTGGGGGACTTTTGAGCGCGGTTGAACGCGGTGCTGCTGGCAGGGGTGGTAGGAGTGACTCCCTCAACAGGAGTGTTGGCAGCGGTGGTGGTGGGGGTGGTGCCATCAGCAGGGGTGAGCGCAGTGGGGGTGGTGGAGGTGGAAGAGGTGGCAAACGAGTGGAAGAAGGAGGTAGAGCCATCGGCAGTGGTGGGAGTCCACGGCTCTGAACCAAAGGTTCGAGAGGAATCAACAGTACATGAGGATTCAAGTGTGCATGATGGTTCAAGGCCACGAGAGGAGCCCACCCAGGGCCCACTGAAACCCGCCGTCCCACTGCCGCCACTGCTGCTGCTGGTGTTTCTGCTGATCCTCCTGCTCCTCCCACCCGCTTTTCCTCCCTTGTCCTGTCGATACGCCTCTTCCAGGGACCCTGATACGGGGCCTGATAGCAGTTCTGATGGGGGGCCTGATAGGAGCCCTGATAGGGGGCCTGATAGCGGTTCTGATAGGGGGCCTGATAGTGGTTCTGATAGGGGGCCTGGTAGCGGTTCTGATAGGGGGCCTGATAGGAGCCCTGATAGGGAACCTGATAGGGGACCAGATCCATCATCTGCTTCCTTTCTAATAGATGCAGCTGCAGCTGTTGCATCTGTAGCAGCAGCAGTGGTGTCAGCAGCTTCTGCACCAGGAGCGGCAGAATCATAAGCAGCAGCAGCTGCAGCAGCAGAGATAGTAAGCGGAGGCTTGGTGGTTGTAGCTGCAGTAGCGGGCTTGGAAGAATCAGAACGTGCGGGTTCGGAAGCATCAGAGACAAAGTGGGGGGAGGAGAGGCAGGGCTGTGGGACAGGAGGCAGGTCAAGAGGCGAAGGGGGGGCTGGGCGGGGGAGAGCATGGGAGGCCGGGGGGTGGGAGAGGAGGGCAGGAGGGAGAGAGGGGAAGGGATGGGGTGTGTGGTTGGGGTCCATTGGCGAGAGTAAGATGTTCCATGGGCTGGAATCTGGCTCCGATGCCTGCTGCTCATCTTGCTGCTTCTCCTGCCCCTGCTGCCACTGTTGCTGCTTCTGCCGTCCCTGCAGCTGTCCCTGCTGCTGTCCCTGTTGCTGCCCAAGCTGCGTCAGTGCTCTCACCACAGCATCATGCCCTGCTCCTTCTTTCACCTCCCTCCTCTCCATATCCATCCCATGCCCACCCACTTCCCTTTCCCCTTCCCCTTCCTCCGTTCCTTCTGAAACCGCTCCCCCTTCCCTTCCCCCTGCCTCTTCTCCTTCCTCCTTTTCCTCCACAATCCCATCCCCTTCCCTCTCTCTCTGCGACCCTTCCCCCTCCCTCTCCCCTTCTCTCACTCGGCTCAGCTTCCTGGAAAGTACCGCACCAGATGCCGACCGGCTACCGAAGCTCATGCCGCCCAGCACCGGACCTGGAACCAACACCGAGGCAGACCTGCTCCCGTAGCTCAGCCCGGGCCTGCTTTCCGAACCTATCTGCAAACCTGCGCCCGAACCAGACATATGGCTACCGGCTAGCCGACCCGTCTCCAAGCCTGCTGCAGGCCCGGATCCTGCAGGTCCAGGTGCAGGCCGAATCGCAGGTTCGGGCCGAACCGGGCTCCTATCCCGAACCTTTCTGGGGATACCGAGGAGTTGGGATGGGTCAGAGCGTGTGCGCATAAGGGCGGACTGGGGGTGGGGGGGAAGGCCAGCAGAGAGGGCAGTCGGAGCAGCAATGGGAGCAACAGCAGAGGTGTAGGAGTGGGAGGGCGAGGTGCGTAGGCTCTTGCTGCTGAAGGAGAAGTGAGGGATGGAGGCAGCAGAGGGAACGGTGGTGGAGGAGAGAGGGTGGGATGAGAGCAACTGGAACTGCGGCTGCTGTTGCTGCTGATGCTGCTTCTTCTTTCCCCCAGGAACTGCGGCTGGATCTTTTCCCATGGCTGATGTGGCAACACTGATACCAGCACCGGCACCAGACCCTGTTCGGGCTAGCTTCCCACCTGAGCCAGCACCTGAGAATCCGCCTGAAGCAACACCACCGCCAGCAGCAGCTGCAGCAGGCGCAGCCGCAGAGGTGAAGGAGCGAGAGGCGTGAGAGGCAGGGTGAGGCAGCGAGGTGGCTGTGAGGAGAGGGCGCTGACGCTTGTGGGGCGGATTGAGGGCAGCAGAGACAGAGGATTGGAGTGCCTGTGTGTGGGGAAAGGGTGGGAGAGAAGATAGAGGAAGGGAGGGTGGGGAGGAGACAAGAGGGAGCAGGGATGTGGCTGTGAGGAGAGCGCGTTGGCGCTTGTGGGGCGGGTTGAGAGGGCAGCAGAGACAGAGGATTGGAGTGCCTGTGTTGGGAGGGAGAAGGGAAGAAAGGTGGGGAAGAGGAAGGGGCAGAGGGAGGGGGAGCAGGAGGCAAAATGGACGGGGAACAAAGGAGGTAGGAAGTTGGCCGTGAGGAGAGGGCACTGGAGCTTGTGGGGCAGGTTGAGGGCAGCAGAGGCAGAGGACTGGCGTGCCTGTGGTGGAGGGAACAAGAGGGAGTGGGGAGGTGGCTGTGAGGAGTGGGGGCTGGCGTTTGTAGGGCAGGTTGGGGGCAGCAGAGACAAAGGATAGGCGTGCCTATAGTGGAGGGAACAAGAGGGAGTGGGGAGGTGGCTGTGAGGAGAAGGGGCTGGCGCTTGTGGGGCGGGTTGAGGGCAGCAGAGGAAATGGATTGGAATGCCTGTGTTGGGAGGAAGGAGGGGGGTTGAACAAGAAGGGGTGGGGAGGGAGGTGGCTGTGAGGATACAGCCACCAGCGATATCCCAAGAGGGGGTGGGGAGGATGTTGTTGTCAGGCTGCCGGCAGCAGATACAGTGACGATTCAAGTATGTGTATGGGGAGGAGCAATGGAGAGGAACTGGGGGGCAGATGAGGAGAGGGGGAGCGTGGTAGTGAGGAGTGTGAAAGCAGATGCAGCAGAGGGGTTTGGGAGGCCCAGAGAGTTGGGGACAGTGCATAAACACACATCAGCCACATCAGCACACAACTTACAGGCTTCGCTGCTTGCTTCCCTTCCCCAGCCTCTTTCCCGGGCCAAGAGCTACCCACGGCAGACTCCAGAGCTGCCAGGTGCCTCGCCACCAAGCCTGGGTCGGAGCTTCGGTGCTCCAGGGGGCGGGAAGGGAGGGGCCAGAGCGGGTGCAGGTGCGGCGGGGGTGGCTGGTAGAACTGCGCTGAGACTTGACTTCGCAGCTCCAGCTGCTGCAGCAGCCGCTGCTGCTTCTCCTGCTGCTGCTGCGGGGTGGGTTGTGCGTCTTGTGTTAGATTCTGCTGCTGGTAGTTATGACGCTGATACTGCTGCTGCTGCTGCTGCCTGTGCCGAAAGCGATCCAGCGTTCGTTCAACCTGCCCCCCCTCGCTCTTCACAACCTGCAATGCCGAAACGTCAACACTGGTCCCCCCACCTTGCTCCTCGCTCCTCACACCCTGAATCTCCCCATCGCCCCTCATACCATACACTTGCCCCTCTCTCCTCACACCGTAAACCTGAGAGGCCTCGTATGCAAGCCGCCCTTGCTCCTCGCTTCGCACGCTGTGCAGCCGGCCGGTTGTGACTGACGTGTGCAGCCGTGATTGGCCGGAGACGAGAGGGGGAGGGGGGTCCACGTGGCCTGGTGTGACTGGCCGCAGCTGAGACGCCAGGCTGGGAATATAGGCACTGGCAGCGGCAGCGTTGGCGTTAGCGGTCATGGTAACACTATTGGCGTTGTTGGTGGTTATGGCGGTAGTAGAGACAGTGTTGGTGGTGGCGGTATTAGCAGTGTTGTTGCTGCTGTGGTTGTTATTAATATAAGTAGTGGCAGCAGCGCCAACGGCAGTGGCGGCTCCAGCAGTGTTTGCTGTGACAGTGTGTGAGGGGGAATGACCAGTAGGCCAACTGTTGGCAGCAGCGGGATGTGAGGAGCAAGGCGTACCTCGTGCCTTCACACCAGCAGCAGCAGCATCAGCGGCACCAGCAGCAGCACCAGCATCACTGCTGCTACTGCTCCTTGTCTGCCTCTCTGTGCCAGCCTTCCCAGTGCAGCTGCTAGCTCCGCCACTCCCAGCGCTCACCCCATTGCTTCCTCCACTGCCGCCCCCACCATCCCCTCTGGATGCTACTGCAGCAGGTGCTACAGTAACAGGTGCTACAGTAACAGGTGTTGCAGTAGCAGGTGCTGCAGTAGCAGGTGCTACAGTAGGAGATGCTGCTACGGCTGGTGCTACAGCTGAAGCTGCTGGTGCGACTGGCATTGCGGCAGCCATACTAGGCGCAGCAGAAGAACGCAGAGGGGCGGGACCAGATGCGAAGGTGGTGAGGAAGGAGGAGAAGGAGTCGTTGTTAGGAGGAGGCGAATAACCCCCAGTGAGAAGATCGAAATTGCCTGACACCACTTGGGAATAGAGTGACGGGTCTGATACCGCCCCACTGCCTATAGCACCTACTGCACCGGCGATACTAGCAGCAGCAGCAGTACCACCGATTGCACTGCCACCCACCCCTCGAACGCCACTGATAGGAGGACCGCTGGGGGCAGCAGCAGCAGAAGCTGTGGTGGTTGCAAGAGCAGCAGCAGCTGCTGTTCCTAGTTCCGGGCACCAGCTGCTGCTGACCCTGTGGCGGGAACCCACCTGCCCCCCCACTTGCTGCTGCTGCTGCTGCTGCTGTGGCGGGTGCTGCTGCGAGTTACCAGCCACACCGAAGGGGACCCAGGCTGACGGAATGGCAGCAGCAGGCGGAGTGGCAGCACCAGACGCAGAAGAAGCAGCAGAAGCAGAAGCAGGCAGGGGGAAGAGGGTGGGCATGCTGTGGGAAACGGGTGGAGGAGCCATGAAACCCCAGTCATCCAGCAGACTGATGCCTGTGATGGTGGATGCAGAGGGGGCATGTTGCGACTGCGGCCGTGGGGGCACTGCTGCTGCCACTACTGCCACCACCGCTCCTGCTGAGCTTGCTGCAGCTGGGGACGCTCCTGCTGACGCTGATACCATGGCACTCGGCGCTGCTACTGCTGCTACTGCTGCCCCTGGTACCACTGCTCCCCCTGCTGCCACGGGTGTCACTCGAGGCACGGCGGAGGCGGAGTGGGAGCGGATGGGCGTGGGGGATATGGGCATGGAGTGGTAATACCGCGACTCAGCAGCAGCAGCAGCAGCACCACCACCAGCACCACCACCACCAGCAGCACCACCACCAGCGGCTGAGGGGGAGGGCAGGGCGGCATTGGCCTTCATCTGGGTGTTGAACATGTTGAAGTCAAATGCATCATCTGAGGGGGACGATGCTCCAGACGAGCCGTTATAGGAATTCGAGGCGTTGAGCGTGCCTCCTCTGACGCCCACGCTCAGCCTTGCGGCTCCAGCTGATGGCATTCGTGCCGACAGTGCTGCTGCTCCTCCTCCCCCCTCCACAGCAGCAGCGTCAGAAGCTCTACTAGCATTATCAGCAGCGTTAGCAGCAGCGTCAACAGCAGCAACAGCAGCAGAGACGGCAGCAGCAGTTCCCATACCAGCAGCACCAGACACTGTCACCTCTACCACCTCCCCTGCCACCGATTCCCCTCCCCTTGACCCCCTACTCCCTGAATCCCCTCCTCTCGAACCCGAATCCCCTCCCCTTGAACCGGCCCTCCCGGAATCCCCTCCCAAGGACCCCGAATCCCCTCCCATACTCTGCCCCAGCCAGCTTCCTCGCCCTCCTCCCCCTCCAAAACCTCCAGGCGCCATCCGCGTTGCCCTAGCCCGCCCCTCCCTACTAACAGGTCTCGACCACAGGGGGGAAGGCTCTAAATCCCTCCAGATGCCAGCAGAGCGAGGGGAAGGGGTGGAGAGCGGTGCATATTTCATGCTGAACGGTGCGGCAGTGGCGGTGTGGGCAGCAGAGGGGGAGGGGGAGGCGAGGTTGGAGTAACGGCCACTGCGAGTGCCGGGACCACCAGGGTATGCCATAGGGCTTGGAAGCACAAGGGGAAGACCCATACCCAGCGCCCCTATCAGCTGAGATCTCGGACTAGAATATTCCATCACACCCGCTGCTCCCGCTCCCCCTGCTCCTCCCGCTCCTCCTGCTCCTCCTGAAATCCCCATTCTCAGCCGGTCAGCCCTGCCCGAGCTGCTGCCTACCCGGGATAAGCCTCCCCCAGGGCCGCCTCGGGAGGAGGGGCGCCTGCCGCTGCCCCCGTGGCTGGAGCCTGGGGTGGCAGGGATGTCCAGAGGCAGGTTGCTGCGGAGGATAGCCATACCTGCATGCATATCTGATGGGTACCCGTGGTGGTGCCGTGGGCCGGATATTTCGGAACCCTGTTGTTGGATCTGCTGCTGCTGTGCGTGCTGCTGGTACTCTTGCTCCAGCTGCTGCTGATGGTGGCTGTGCTGGTGCTGTAGCTGGTGCTGCTGGTGGTGATGCTCGGAAGGAGGAGCAGCGGAAATGGAGCGTGTGGGGGAGGAGAGGCGGGAGGGCGAGGCGGGGAGAGGGTCGGGGAGGAGGGAGGCGGTGAGACCGCTGCCAAACATGGGAGCAGAGCCGGGGGGGGCGCGGTTGAGGCGAGCCGTGAAGAAGAAGGAAGAGCCTCGATCTGGTTCACTCTCCACCCAGATCTTCCCCCCCATCATGTGCACCAGACTGTGGCGAGGGATTAGGGAGGGCAGGGAAACATAGAGGTGAGTGGAGGGGGGCAAGAAAGACAGGAAGGAAATGGTGGAGCTAGGGCGAGCTGTGAAGAAGAAAGCCGAGCCGCGGTCTGGTTCACTCTCCACCCAGATCTCACCTCCCATCATGTGCACGAGACTGGGGGGAGAGGAGGGAAGGGGCAGGCGGGGAAGGGGGATTGATGGAGGGTTGAAGTGAGCTGTGAAGAAGGAGGCAGAGCCTCGATCGGATTCACTCTCCACCCAATTCTCGCCCCCCATCATGTGCACCAGACTGGGGGATGGGGAAGCAGGAAAATACATAGGAGAGGGGAGTTAGAACCAGAGCAAACGCGAGCTGTGAAGAAGAAGGCAGAGCCCCCGCCCAATGCCGCCATACACCCGAGTGATGGACGCACCATCCCATACGTCCGCCATAACCCTGTTTTGAGCCGACTCAAAACTGGACGCACCATCCCATACGTTCCCCACAGCCCACAACCTTGCCTAATACAAGGTGCCTCTACGCCCTACCGCCCTCCCCCCCGTCCCTCATTCATCACCACACATCCCTCCCTCCCTCCCTCCCTCCTTCCCATCTCACCTTTGCACGATGCTAAGCCCGAGCCCAATGCCGCCATGCACCCGTGTGCTCGACGCATCTGCCTGCACTTAGTTGTGGAAAATCCCCCCCTGCTTCTCCTAATACGTCTCAAGAAGCTCACCTCTGCACAATGCTGAGACCAAGCCCAATGCCGCCATACACCCGTGTGCTCGACGTATCTGCCTGCACGAAGTTGTGGAAAATCTCGCCCTGTTTCTCCCGGCTGATCCCAATCCCCGTATCCCTCACCGCCACCATCAGCCACACCGACCTCCCTCCCTCACTCCCCTCCTCCCCTTCCTCCTCCCCATCCTCCTCCTCATCCTCCTCTCCCTCCCTCTCCCTCCCTCCTCCTCCTCGCCTCCCTTCTCCTTCCGTCTCCTCCTCCTCATCACTAGTATCAAGCCGCTGGGTGCTCACATGAGAGGACTGCCTCCACAGCATGTTCTTTATACTCATTCCCACACTCATACCTGCGCCGCGCTTCCCCCTCCCTCCCTCCTCCCCTCTCCCCGTTCCTCCTGCTGCTCCCCCTCCTGCTACCCCTCCCCCGCCTCCACTTTCTCCCCTGCGGCCCTCCCTAGGCTGCCTCTGGTGCTGCTGTGAGTAAAAATACCTCCCACCACCTCTCGGCCACCCTCCTCCCTGCCCCCGCCCCTCCTGCACCCGCACACTCCTACTCCTCCCAAACCCCTCCAACAGCTCCGCACCCACCGCCCTTGCCAGGTTATCACTCTCGGTCCGGTCCAACACAGTCCCCTCAGGCGCATAAACCAAGGGCTGTACACTCTGAGAATTCCCAGGGTATGCCTTCCCTTGGGAGGTATTATACCCAGTATACAGCAATGCCTGAGCCTGGGATACCTCAGATGGTCTAAACGCGCTGCCTCTAACGTGTGAGTGTGAACGTGCGCTGCTGTTTCGGCTGAGCTCCACTACAGAGGAGTAGTCACTAGCTTGGGACATGTTGCTCCGTTGCGACACCAGAGGCCCGGGAGCCGAGCCTGGGGCGAGCGCAGGCTCAGGCACGGAGCGAGGCTCGGAGCCAGGCGCGGAAACAGGTGCGGAAGCGGATGCGAGGGCCGGCATGGACTGGCGAGCGAGGATGGGTTGTGGTGGGGGGAGAGCACGAGCCATGGGGGAGAGTAGAGGGGGGGTGGAAGAGGCACCAAAAGGGGAAGAGGCAAAGGGGGCAGCGCATGCTTGCATGGCACCTAGAAACGAGGGCATGGGTTGAGCTCCATCTGTTTCCCCTAGGTCTCTGAAATCCAACACCCTCTGAGGGTGTGGCGACCCCAATTCCTTATCACTATCCCTCTCCCTCTCCTCCCTCTCTCTCTCCTCTCTTGCCCGTGAGAAGAACCCGCTACCACCCCGCGACCCTGCTCCCCCCCTGCGGCTGCTCAGGCCGCCCTCGCTCCACTTGCCACTGCTCCTGCCACTGCCCGCCAGACCCACGTCTAAGAAGTCAACCCGCCTGCTGCGAGTCTCACTGGACCGCGTTCGAGACACAGGCACCTGCATTTCCTCCTCATCCCTCTCCTCCTCTCTGTCCACATCTCCACCTCTCCCTACACCCCTCTCTATACTCCTACCTCTACCCCTCTCTCTAGGAAACGACTCTCCATCTGACAGACTCCCACACTCCACCACCCCTTCACTCCCTCGTCCTCTCCCCCCCACTCCCCCTCCCTCTCCACCTCTTCTCGACCCCCGCCCCCAGCTCTTCTCCCGCCACCTCCCACCCCTCCAAACCCCTCCCAACTCCGCTGTTTCCTCCCCGCTATCTGTGCGTCCCTCCCCCCCTGCCCAGGGTTCTGACCAATCACCAGCCTCGTAACCAAGACACTGGTATACTCCTAACCCCCCTCCCAGCTCAGCCAACTCCTGGCTGCCACGTCGGCTTCTCTTTCCCGGACCAAAGAGGGAGGCTCGGCGGCTGCCGGACCTGCCGAGTGAGGGTCGGTGGGAGGAGGTTGGGCGGCTGGGAGGGTCGGAGTGCCAGCCAGAGCTAGAATCTGGATAGGTGGGCCTAGGGACGGTGGCATCTGCCTCTGCTGCTGGCCCTGCTACTCCTGCTGCTGCCTCTGCTGCTGCGGCTGCTGCTCCTCCTCCTGACGGTGATAGTTGTGATGATTGTGCTGCTGTGCCATAACCATCGCCTAATGCAGGAGCAGCATGACGAGTATATGCGTCACTCGATGCTGGTCTCACTCTTTCTTCTCCTCCCTCCCATCCTCTCCTCTCCTCCTCTCTCTCTCCCTCCCTCTCCTCCCTCCTGCCGTCTCCTCTCCTCTTGGTGAAAGACCTTCCTAAAAACGCGAGGAAACTTCCAGGAACCTTGTCAGAAGCAGACAACAAAATCCCTTCCCTTGACTGTGGTCGGCCTTGCATACGCGACGATTCAGCTGCGGCAGCAGCAGCAGCAGCAGCAGCAGCAGCCAGAGAACCCACACCACCAGCACCAGCGGGAGTGCTGGGGGTTGCGGGACAAGTCATAGACCTGGGAACAGCCTTTCGCTGCCTTTTCTGATGGCTGTGACGCTGCCCCTGCTGCTGCCCCTGCGCTTGCCCCTGCCCCTGCGCCTGCCCTGGCCCTTGCTCCTCGAGGTTGGAGATACAGGACTTGTGGTGGCGGTGGTGGCGCTGCTGCCTGTCTTTGCGCCGCTGCCCCTGCTTCTGGCAGTGCTGCTGGTGCCGGCTGCTGCGGAAGAGCAGGGAGATCTCGAGGGTAACCGACCCTGTCTCTGTGAACTTGATCGCATTGCCCACTGGTGGAGGGATGGGGAGAGATTGGCAGTGGAAAAAGAGAAGGGGAGGGAGAATTGGAATGTTGGTGAGGATACGGGTGCTGCTGCGGAAGAGCAGGGAAATCTCGAGCGTCACTGACCCTATCTCTGTGAACTTGATCGCATTACCCACTGGTTGAGGGATGGGGAGGAAGAGAGACGAAAAGAGGAGAGTTGACACTCGGCAAGAACACCTGTGCAGAAAATGTTTCAAGGGAACAGCAGATCAGAGCAAGGCAGTCAATGCACTCCTTACCATGGCACTCCTTACCATGGCACTCCTTACCATGGCACTCCTTACCATGGCACTCCTTACCATGGCACTCCTTACCAAGGTTGATGAGGCACTGCTGCAGCCCGCCTGTGTCTCCTCTCCCATCAGCTCCAGAGGCTCTTTGGGAAAGAGTCGGGATAGCAAGAAATGCAATGATTGACCCAGCATTGACTTTTCTGACAAGAGGGGGATCATGAGCCAAAGCCTCCTTACCCAGATTGATGAGGCACTGCTGCAATCTGCCCGGGTCCCCCATGAGCTCCAGAGGTACCTTCTCTGCCACGTGCCATGAGAAGGCCAGCTGCTTCTGCTCCGCTCGCACCTGCAGAGAGGGGAGAGAGAGGGGAAAAGAGCCAGGAGGGTGGAAAGGAACGGGAGGAGTGGGAGGAACAGGAAGAAAAAAGGGAACGGGAGGACGGGGAGAAACGAGAGGACGAAAGGGATGTGAGCGCTCCTACCAAGCATCTGCTCCCGTAGGCTCCAGAGGCACGTTCTCCACAAGGTGCAATGAGAAGGCAGCTACTTCTTTCCCGCCCGTACCTGGAGGGTGGTGGAGAGAGGGGGAGGGGAGTGAGGCGAGGAAGGGAAAAACTGAATGCTGCATCAAGCAATGCCCCCATCAGCTCAGCTCCATCAGCACTGCCAGCCAGCACTACCAGCACCACCATATGGTCCACTCCATTCACCTGCAGCATGCGCATGGTGGAGCCAACAACATCCCTCAGTCTGAACGGCACTTTATCCAAAGCCAGCTGCCCTGCTTCGATCCTGGCAAGGTCCAGCACGGTGTTGGAAATGTTCAGCTGACAGTCCGCCATGCATGACTTTCGAGGCGCCTCAAAAGATGACTTTTGAGGCGCCTCAGAAATGTTCAGCAGACAATCCGCCATGCATGACCCTGCCAACCCTGTTTTACCTTGTTTCCTTCCCCCACTCACCTGCAGCATTCTCATGGTCGAGCCAACCACATCCCGCAGCCGGAAAGGCACTTTATCCAGAGCAATCTGCCCTGCTTCGATCCTGGCCAGGTCCAGAACAGTGTTGGCGATGTTCAGCAGACAATCCCTGTGAACCCATCCACTCACCTGCAGCATTCTCATGGTCGAGCCAACCACATCCCGCAGCCTGAAAGGCACTTTATCCAAAGCAAGCTGCCCTGCTTCTATTCTCGCGAGGTCCAGAACAGTATTGGCGATGTTCAGCAGGCAATCGGCCGATTGCGCCACCACCGTCAGATGCTCGTGCACCTCCACCGTCAGATCGCTCCGCTCCGCCAGCGCTGCTGCTGCGGCGGCGGCGGCGGCAGAGGCGGAGTGGGAGGAGTGGTGTGGGATGGGTGGTAACGGGATGGCGCGGAGGGACTCGAGAGTGTCCATGGCGAGGGCTGTCATCCCGATGATGCCGTGGATGGGCGTGCTGGGGGAGGGAAGGGCGGGAGGGAAGGGCGGGAGGGAAAGGACGGGAGGGAGGCGGGAGGGAAAGGACGGGAGGGAAAGGGCGGGAGGGAAAGGGCGGGAGGGAAAGGGCGGGAGGGAAAGGGCGGGAGGGAAAGGGCGGGAGGGAAAGGGCGGGAGGGAAAGGGCGGGAGGGAAAGGGCGGGAGGGAAAGGATGGGAGGGAAAGGACGGGAGGGGAGGATGGGAGAAGATTGAGGATTTGAGGACGGGCGGGACGGTCTGGGGAGTGGGAGGAGGAGTGGGGTGGTGGTATGGCCGGCAGGGGGGTGGCTCAGAAGGACTCGAGAGTGTCCATGGCGAGAGCTGTCATTCCGATCATGCCGTGGATGGGTGTACTGTGAGGTGGGGGCAAGGGGGGTTGGGGGGATGGGGGTGATGATGGGAGGGGGACGAGGAGGTGAGGCAAAACGGTATGGGCGTCAGAGGGACGGCATGGAGGGACTCGAGGGTGTCCATGGCGAGAGCTGTCCTGCCGATGATGCCGTGGATGGGCGTGCTGGGGGGGGAAGGGTAGAGCATAGAGGATTGGGAAGGGGGAAGACAGGAAGGGAGAAGAAGAGGAGTGGGAAGGGAGAAGACAGGAAGGGAGGAGAAGAGGATTGAGAATGGGGAAGACGGAGGGGGAAGGAGGAGGAGATGGGGTGAAGGAAGAGAGAACTAAGAGTTCGAGCCACAACAAGCCGGTGGATTTTTTTTAACTAGGAGTAGCAGGTTGTTTGTTGTGTAGAGCAGGGAAATAACAAAAAATCAGGGCTGGGATGAGGAGGAGGTGAGGTGAAGGAAGACACGGCGCAATGGGGAGCTTTGAGAGAATCCATGGGTGGGAGCAGCGGAGGCCCAGCAGAGCTGCTGGTGGCCCGGGATGACAGGCAAGCATTGCAGCAGCAGCGGCAGCGGCGGCGGCAGCAGCAGCAACAACAACAACGCTGGGAGAGAGACAAGCAAGCTTAATTATTACTTAGTGGCATCAGGGCGACGTTACCGTATCTCATGGCTCATGTTGGCCAGGAACTCCGTCTTGGCCCTCCCCGCTTCCTCCAGCTCCTCCTTTGACATCTTCAAGTCCTGTCATGTCATCTCATGTCATCACACACACACCATGCGTGCAGGTGGGGAAGGCGAGGAGGAGGAAACGGGGGAGAATCTTTTCAGGCGCTTGAAACATTAAACTCTGTCTTAGTCCTCTCCACCTCATGCCGCCAGGTGTTTCAGTCACTCACTGCATGGGCCACCCCACTCACCTCATTGTACTGCCGGATTTGCTCCGTCTGACGCTGCTCCTCCCTTTCCAACCTCACATTTAACCTTCTCAGCTCCTTCCTCAGCCGATTCGTGTCCCTCACAGCTGCAGCCACCACCACTCCCACCACGCCCACCGTCACCACAAACACCTGCAGCTGCAGAGTCGTCTCATTTACCTTTTCCCTCACCAGCGGCCCCCACTCACCTCGTCATGCTTGCTTCAGGGGTCACCCAACCACACGACCCACCCCACTCACCTCGTTATACTGCCGGATCTGCTCCGTGCGTCGCTGCACCTCCCCCTCAAGCCGCGCATTTAACCTTCTCAGCTCCTTCCTCAGCCGATTCGTGTCCCTCACAGCTGCAGCCACCACCACTCCCACCACGCCCACCGTCACCACAAACACCTGCAGCTGCGGAGTCGTCTCATTTGCCTTTTCCCTCACCAGCGGCTCCCACTCACCTCGTCATGCTTGCTTCAGGCGTTTCCCAACCACACGACCCACCCCACTCACTCACCTCGTTGTACTGCCGGATCTGCTCCGTACGTCGCTGCACCTCCCCCTCAAGCCGCGCATTTAACCTTCTCAGCTCCTTCCTCAGCCGATTCGTGTCCCTCACAGCTGCAGCCACCACCACTCCCACCACGCCCACCGTCACCACAAACACCTGCAGCTGCAGAGTCGTCTCATTTGCCTTTTCCCTCACCAGCGGCCCCCACTCACCTCGTCATGCTTGCTTCAGGGGTCACCCAACCACACGACCCACCCCACTCACCTCGTTGTACTGCCGGATCTGCTCCGTGCGTCGCTGCACCTCCCCCTCAAGCCGCGCATTTAACCTTCGCAGCTCCTTCCTCAGCCGATTCGTGTCCCTCACAGCTGCAGCCACCACCACTCCCACCACGCCCACCGTCACCACAAACACCTGCAGCTGCAGAGTCGTCTCATTCGCCTTCTCCCTCACCAGCGGGCCCCACCCTCTGGCCGTGCAGCAGCACGCGATCAGCACCACCAGCAGCAGCATGAGGCCCGAGCCGTGGCGGTTAAATCTAACCGCTGCCCAGAGGACCCCTGGGAAGAGCATGTAGGGGAGGGAGACGATGAGAGGGCTGGTTCCTGGGGCGAAAATGAGGAGAGATATGCCTGTGTTGAGGAGGAATAGAGCGAGGAATTCCCAGCTCTTGGGGGTGGAGAGAAGTTGGCAGAGGAAGGGTAGCCAGGATTGCGTGGGAGGGAAGGAGTGGGAAGGCGGATGGGATGTGGAGGAATGTGGAGAACGAGGATTAGGTTGGATTTGTGCAGCTGCTGCTGCGGCTGATGGTGATGACGCTGATGACGCTGCTGGGAAAGGTTTCCACACCGCCACTTGCATAAGCAACGGCAGCGTGAGAATGATCCCTGAGAAGCTCGCCAGCGTTCGAAAGCACCCAGTAATGGCAGCAGTTTCAGGTGTCTCTGCTCCGATAAGACTCAGGACGATTGACACGATCCCCTCGAAGATGAACGAGATGAGGAAGGAGAAGAAGAAGAGGCGGAAGTTGTTGGACACGCGGTCTAGCGGGGTGAGGTCGGTGGGTTGGCGGCGGAGGAAGCGCGTGAGGAAGAAGGCGAGGAGGAGCACGAAGAGCGTGCGGTCGGTGCCTATAACGAGGGAGTAGAGGATGAGCTGGAGGCGCGGCAGGGTGACGTGGAGGGTGCCGTAGGTGAGCGAGAGGGCCGTGCCTGAGAGGAAGAGTGCCGGCCAGATGCGGTAGCCTAGAGCCTGTTGGGGGGAGGGATAGGGGTGGGGGTGGAGATGAGGGAACTTTTGAGGCGCCTCAAAGGCGCGGGAGGGTGACGTGGATGGCGCCGTAGGTGAGGGAGAGGGCCGTGCCTGAGAGGAAGAGTGCCGACCAGATGCGATAGCCCAGTGCCTGTTGGGAGGAGGGATGGGGTTGGGGATGAGGGGAGGGGTGGACAGGTCAACAGAGAGCAGGATTGGCTAAAACGTTCCAGAGTGGTAGGAGGGGAAGAATGCGAGGAGGAGCACGAAGAGCGTGCGGTCCGTGCCTATAACGAGGGAGTAGAGGATGAGCTGCAGGCGCGGCAGGGTGACGTGGAGGGTGCCGTAGGTGAGCGAGAGGGCCGTGCCTGAGAGGAAGAGTGCCGGCCAGATGCAGTAGCCCAGTGCCTGGTGGGGGGAGGGATAGGGGTGGGGATGCGGGGAGAGAGGGGAGGGCAGGCCAACAGAGAGTAGGATCAGCCTAAAACGTCCCAGAGTTATCAAATGAGGGAGAGCGTGGTGCCTGAGAGGAAAAGAGTCGGCCAGATGCGGTAGCCCAGTGCCTGTTGGGAGGAGGGATGGGGTGGGTACGGGGCAAAGGCAGGACAACGGAGCATAAGATTTGGCTAGAAACGTCTGAATTGTAGGTGAGGGAGAGCGTCCTTTTTTAGGGATTCTTTGAAACACCCTGTGGAACCAAGTGAAGGGAGAGCACGTGACGACAGAAAAGCCAAAGAACACCCTGTGGTACCAAGTAGAGGGAGAGAGAGCTTACGAGGACAGCAAAGAGCGCGAGGCCTGTGGGGGGCCAGACAGGCGCAGGCAGGAAGAGCAAGTCTCCCACTTTGGCCGCTGCCAGCATGGCGTATGACACTCCAATGAGTCCCACCGCCACCACCAGCACCAGCACCGCCTGCTGCCACCACTTTAATTCCCTCATGCCAACCACCAACGGCCACGTGTTCCTCTTCGCCCCGTTATAAGCTTCCCCGATTTCGTCCTCCTCGTCGTCCCCGGCGTGGCTGCTGAGACTCTCCTCTTCGTCGCCCTCCTGCCCGTACTCGTTAAGGCTAGACTCGCCAGAAGACGAGAAGCTCTCCGCGTCGCGGTACGAGTCGCCGCTGCTCTCACTCTCACCGTCTCTCGCGGCGGTATCGCCATCGACCAAGCCTCTGGCAGTCGCTATGGTTACCGGGTTACCATCCGGCATGTCCGCGAGGCCATGCGAAAGAGTCTCCTGTCTACCCATGTCCATCTCGACTACGTAAGCCCCCCCCTCGCTCCTTCCGCTTCTAGCGCTGCCTCTATATCCCCCATCGTCCCTCTCTCCGCCTCTCTCTCCGCGTATCATGCTATCCCCGCCTTCCCCCCTCCTGCTCGCGCCGACGGACTGCCCCATTCTCCCGCTGGCGTCGCGGTCGATTCGGCTGTCGCGAAAACCGGTATCCTCGCCGATTTCGCCGTCGGGATCTCGGCTGTCGCCCTGCTCCAGGTCCCAGTCGTCCGCGCGAAACGAGTTCGGCTGCGACAGCTGGTCAAGAGCCGACGGCCACTCTGCGACGTCGCCCTGCGACCGATGATCGTCCGCCAAAGCGTACTCATCCTGCGCCGCATCGCGCGCCGCTGGGCCTAGTGATGCGAGCCGCGGTGCGGCTCGGTCAGTTTGAGACTCTGCAGTTAATTGGTTTCCATCCATCTTGCTAAATCGGGAGCTCGATTCGTGTCACTCGCATCCAAATCGTTGAATGCTATCTTGAAGCAAGGTCAATGCGGAAAATAGACCGAAACCAGTCTCCCATAGAGCCTTTCACGTCCATTCCAGCTCTCCGCTTACTACGAACTCCGCTACCGCTTGTAACTTGGATTGGTAAACGTAACTGACATAAAAGTCGTGCCTAGAGCTTTGTGTCTGTCTGTTAGTAGTTAATCAATCACTTCATGGCGGGACAGCAACTAGTAAGGACTTCACATATTCACGAAGAAACTTAGGGCACATCACAAGGGTGAAACTTTCTGTTCGGTAGAAGCGGTTGAGGACGATGTAGTGCAATCTAGAGCGATATCTCGCTTCACCACTTTGAACCGCTGTTAACCACCCTGAACATTCATTAATATACTGTGTATGAGTGAACTCGCATCGTGACCTGTATCTCTCTCTACAGTATGCTTCCCTCCCCGTCAATGCTCAACTGCTTTGGAGTCTGGTCTCAAGCGGTCTGTTCATTGGTGTGCTGAATGCTGGTGCAGCGTGAGCGGGAAAGGGGAGGTGGGTTCGTCTGTTGGCTTGTGCACATTTCTCGAGCACGCCTCACACAGCCTGACGAAGCTGGTTTGCCCTTGGGAACAGTCCCTATGGCTTCGCCAGCATGACCTGAAACAAGCTCGCAGGTATGGCGAAATTGGTTACCTCACTCGTCAGCTTATGACGATGATTACCAATTCATTGGTGAGCACCTGAAACCAGTTCGCGAGTGTTCTCAGGTTGAGGTTCTCGAGGAACCTGAATTTTGACGGCAGGTCTCCCGAGAATTGGACGGGAAAAACGGATTGGTTGGAAGGCCCCAAATCTTGTCGCGCACAGTACAGTAACGTGAAACCGAAGCCGTGGAATCAAACTGAATTTGCTTGAATCTAAACCATGGAAACAAAACGCATCCAGCACTATCGGATTATATAGAATAACGGATACAATCATGCTGTACACATGCTCAATAACATGCCTTCAATTGTTGTACTTCATCCAGGAAATTTCTGCATTTTCCACAGGCACAACATGAGCAAGCCGTTGGAGGTAAGACACGTGAAATCAAAATTTGTTGCACGAAGAAGCAAAACGGAGGAGTCCTTTTCTCTTAAACATTTAAATAATAAAAGCTCACCATGAATCTGTTGTATTGTGGCCCTCTCCGCTGGATCTTTCTCAAGCATCCTCCGCACCACTGCTTTCGCTCCCTCCGACACTCCTTCCCACCGCGGCCCCTCCATCCGAGCCGGCCCATGCATGATCGCCTCAATAAGCGAGCGGTTCTTGGTGGCAAAGAACGGAAGAGCCCCGGAGAGCATCACATAGAGCACGATGCCGGCGCTCCACACGTCTGCTGCCGGCCCGTAGCTGCCTTGCAGCAGCTCTGGTGACATGTACATGGCCGTTCCCACTGGGTCCGTGCAGGGCATGCCTGCAATATAAATTTACAAGTCCATAGGGGGGGACAGAGGGGGAATCGAGGGATAAGATGAGTCACAGCCCTGACTGTGCCTGTATCGCGTTGGCCAACCCGTAGCTGCCTTGCAGCTGCTCTGGTGACATGTTCATGGCCGTTCCCACTGGGTCCGTGCAGGGCATGCCTGGAAAACAACAGATCAAGTCAGGAAGGAAGGGAACCGAGGGTCTAGATGAGTCAATACCCAGACAGGGGTTGTATTGGGTAGGGCGGGCCCATAGCTGCCTTGCAGCAGCTTCCGTGTCTTACATGCCTTGCAGCAGCTTCCGTGTCTTACATGCCTTGCAAGGGCCGTTCCCAATGGGTTCGTGCAGGGCGTGCCTGGAGCACGTGGCAGCAGTTGTGAATACTAGTATGGCACGGCACCACTTCTCACCTGGGGAGAACCGGGTTGCGACGCCAAAGTCCCCCAGCTTCACAAGAACCTTCTCCCCGTCCCCGCCTCCCCCTCCCCGTGCATATATAAGCACATTCTCCGGCTTCACGTCGCGGTGAATCACGCCCAAGTCATGGCAGTGCTGCAGCGCGTGCAGCAGCTGGCTCAGAATGCACGCGGCGGTGGGCTCCGGGAGGCGTGTGCGCGTCTTGACGTGGTCGAAGAGGTCCCCATGGCGGCACAGCTGCATCACCAGGTGCACCGCATGGGGGTCCTCGAACGTGGAGTTCAACTCCACTATCCCGGGATGCCCTTTCACTCGCTCCAATGCTTCTACCTCCCTCCGGATATCCTCTGCTCCTGGCAGGGTCTGGGGATGGACGGGAGGGAGCAGAAATGGAAGAGTGGTGGGATGAAGATGCAGCAGCAGCAGCAGCAGCAGCAGCAGCAACAGCAGTAGCAGTGGGTTCTTATGCACACCAGGGAAAAAAACCAGCATTACTTAGACTAAAGATGCCCTTCCCACCTGGATGTCCTTCTTTTTTATGGACTTGCAGGCGAACGCCGCCCCTCCAAGCGCACCGCGAGGCACACACTTGTAGATCACACCAAACTGCCCTCGCCCGATCTCCCTTCTCCCCACCACGAAGCGGCTCTGCAGTGCAACGTACGGCCGCCCTAGCACGCTCCCCTGCACGCCTCCCCCCTCTACTAGTTTCAAAGGTGGCGGGATTGCTGCCTGCACCCGCTTCTGCTCACGCTGTTCCTGCTGCTGCTTCTGCTTCTGCTTCTGCTGCTGCTTATCCTCCTGCTGCTTTTTCTGGAGCTTCTGCACCTCCCCATGCCCCTCCGCACGCCCACTGAACTGTTCTGAACCGTTCCAGCGACCTGAGCCACCCGCATCGACAGCAGGCAACGAGTCAAACTGGCCGGAATCACCTGAAACCAAATCACTCGGAACCGAATCACTTGCTTGAAATGGCATGTGCGACGGCACGGGATCCCTTAACTGAACGGCGTCACACATGTCGTTTGAAGGCACGATGTTATGTGAAGGCACAAAGTCTCTAAAGGACCCCACAGCACCGCCGTAGCCCAGCTGCCTGCCACTGCCCACCGCCCCCCCACGCCTCCTGATAGAGGGGCTGTCAGGAGTGATAGAGGTTCCCCTCATACTCCTGCGGGCTGATCTTCCACTCTCCCTGCCACTCTCCCTGCAACTCTCCCTGCCACTCTCCCTGCCACTCTCCCTGCCACTCTCCCTGCCACTCTCTCTGCCGATTGATCTGTCGTCTGTCATCCTGCCAGCACCCCGCTCATTCTTCCCTGCTGCCTCCCCTTCTGTTCCCTCTGCTGCTCCCTCTGATGCTGAGGAGGAGGACGAGGAGGATGGGGATGATAGTTGCGATATCAACGGTTCCCCATACAGATCCCCATGGCGATACAAATCCCCACGCCCAACCACCTCACCAGCGTTCCCATCACCCTTATCCGCTCCTCTTGGCCGTTCCCCATACAAGTCCCCATGCTGAACCTCGTCACCAGCAGCCTTGCCACGCCTTGAGTTCTGAGGCGCCTCGAAACTAAAATCCGCACGCGCTACCACCTCACCAGCCTTGCCATCCCTCTTATCCTCTCCTCTGAGCTGTTTCCCATAGAGGTCCCCCTGGCAATACAAATCTCCCTTCCCAACCGCCTGTTTCTGAGTCGGCATCTCAAAACTCAAATCCCCATGCTGAACCCCCTCACTAGCCTTACCATGCCTCTTCGCCCCGTCTAAACCACCTCCCTTCTCCTCCCTTGTACCACCACCTTTCGTTTTCTCCTCCCCTGCCCCAGCCCCGCCCTCCTGGTCGTCTAAATACTCGTCTACATAGTCGTCCGGCGCGTCTTTAAACGAGTTATCGAGGCAGCCTCTAAGGAGGTCGCGGAGCAGCGGGGGCGCGGCGAGGAGGAACGAGGGGCAGGAGGCGCGGCGGCGGGAGGAGGAGAGCCCAAGGGGAGGAGGAGGGGGGAGCGGCGGAGGAGGAGGGCAGAGAGAAGGAGGCGGAGGGAGCGGAGGAGGGGCCATTCGCCTTGATGACCTTGCTCCCGTTCTCAGATCCCCAGCTTCCCCCATCTTGACCTCCCCGGTCCCCCCCATTCTAAGGTCCCCAGCTCTAGCGCCGGTATTCCCAAGGGTCGGCGACGGTGGAGTTTGGCTTCCTGGTGAGTCAACGCAAGTCAACGCCGCCTGGCACTCGTCAGCTTCGCTGCTGGGACTTACCTTTCCTGGTTCTACCTCGTCATCCCTCTGCCCCACCTCCGCCCCTCTCAGTTCTTCCCTGCCCAGATCTACCTTCCCCAGTTCCAGCCTCCCCAGCTCTACCTTCCCCTGTTCAGCCTCCCCGCGCTCGCCCTCCCCCCGGGGCTGCGCCTGCCCTTCCCGCGCGCTGCGCCTGCCCACCCACGACATGCTCGCGCGGCCCCAGCTGCGCCACGTGGCAGCAGCTGATTGGGGGAGCGGCGGGAGCGGGTGCGTGGGGCTCTGCACCACGGCGGACGCGCTCCGCGTGTGCCGCCCCCCGCGGGATACCGCCGCCGCCGCCGCCGCTGATTCTCCCCCTCCCCTTGCCGCTGCTCCTCCCCCTCCCACCCCTCCCCATACACCTGCACCTGCCACTGCCGCCGCTGCTGCCTGTTGTTGTTGCTGCTCTCGTGCTACTGCTGCTACTGCTGCTGCTGCTGCGGCTGCACCAGATAAAATCTCCTCGCCGCTGCTTCTACTCTCACTGCTCACGCTGAAGCTCTGGCCTCTCATTCGCTGCTTCTGACCGAGAATCACGGGCCAGGCTTCCACGTGGCGAAACGACGGGGAGGGGCTGCAGGCGGGGCGACTCTTGCGGCGCCGTGGACGGCCGCGGAGAGAGGGGCGGCAGCAGCGCGTTCGCGACCAATGGGGGGCTGCCACGTGGCGATGTGACAGCCGTCGTGAGACTGCCACGTGTATAGCTATGAGATTGCCCGAACGTGAGACTGCTACGTGGCGATTTGACAGCTTGCCCCAGTGGAAGACTGCCACGTGGCGATTTGACAGCTTGCCCCAATGGGAGACTGCCACGTGGCGAGGGAACGGGCGGCGGCCGAGGCGACAGAGAAATTGGCTGGGGAGGGGGTTTCGCGTACATGTATGACGGCGTGAAGACAAAACCGCGGTCCTCCTCAATATAATCTTCATCTGCCCGTTCACCTGCCCTTTCATCTGCCCGACTTCTAGAAGAGGAATTTGGCGGGGTGAGTTGGCGCAAGCGCGTTGGGGAAGGGGAGAGGCAGGCGGAGGGGGAAGGGGAGGGGGAAGGCGAGGGGGAGAGGGAGGGGGCAGGGGAGGGGTTCCGTGGCGGGCGCTCGGGGCGGAGCGGCGGAAGGTCCTGGCGCGGAGGGGAGGGGGAGGGGGAGGAAGAGGGAGAGTTGCGCGTCCACGCGGTCTGGTTCAGCGACTGCGCCTTGCGCAACGCGCGCGGGGCCTGCGACGCGGAAGCACCAGTAGCAGTTATAGGGTTCACAGAGCTACTCTTAGCGACGTCCTTAGACAGTCGTAGCACCAGGGGGTTTCTGCTCGCATCGCGGCGCACCAACAGAGTGGAATTAGGGCTGCTGCTGCTGCTGCTGCTGCTGCTACGGTTACTGCTACAGCTGCCGCTACAACTGCTGCCACAGGCGCAGCTACAGCAGCTGCTACGGTTGCTGCTACAGCTGGCGCGGGCACTCGCGGCGGCGGCGGCTCTCGTAGCGCGGAGCGACGGCGGAGCGGGGCCCTGGCGCGGCGGGGAGGGGGAGGGGGAGAGACTGCGCCGCCACAGCGTGGCCCTCTGCGTCTCCGACTGCGCCTTGCGCAGCACGCGCCGGCCGCGGGGTGCATCCGGCCGCGCCGCGGACGAAACGGCGGCGGCTTCCGCTGCTTCCGCGTCTGCTGCTAGAACCGGCGCTGGAGGAGTTGCGAAGCTGGTTGTACAACCGCTGGGGCTCTTGGCGATACTGCCGCAACAGTCGCTGTTCCAGACGGGGTCGCAGCCGTCGCCGCGGTCGCAGACGTCGCCGCGGTCGCAGCCGTCGCAGTCGCCTTAACTATCGCCGCTGCCGCTGCTGCTGCGGCGGAGAATGATTGGCTGGCAGCCGCGGATCGCGTCGACAGGTACGCGCGTCGCCGTAGCTGGTTGTGCGCCTCGAGACGAGTCATCACGTCGCTGCTGCTTCTGTTTATGCTGTTACGATTGGCGCCTCCTCTTCTACGAATAGTTGCTGCTGCTTCGCCTCTGCTAGTACCAGCGTTGTTACACTCACACTGCTGCGTTTCTTGAGTCGACTCAAAAATGTCGCCGCGGTTGGCGCCTCCTCTGCTTCTACTACTACTTGTAGTGCTTCTAGCGTTACACTCACGCTGCTGCTGCTGCTGCTGAAACTCCCAAGGCTGCGGTTTCAGAGCCTCGGCCCTACAAGTACCGGTACTGGTACGTGGGACGTGGGTCATGTCGTGCATCGACTGCGACATTGTGCGACACCTCGGCGACTGTCGTTCACTCCGTGCGACTGCTGCAGGCGCATTCGCCGCCAGCGAAGCCTCAGCTTCACTACGAGCTCCTTGAACGTGTCGGCGCACCGCGTTTGCGCGCGGATTCCCGTTACTATCACACTCCTTAAACGCCATGGCTAGCGGCATGATCGGGGAGGAGGGGCTACGCCGATGGCCGTTACTCGCATCCGCGTCGCGCTGCGAAATATTTCCGGGAAACACAAGCGACGGCAAGCTCGTCGGCGGCGCGGCTCGCCCTACGGCTCGCATCGCGCGTTCTGCCACGTCATCGTCGTCATCCGACGACGAGTCGTCGTTTGCCGGGTGAGCTAAGAGCACGACTTGCCGGCCGTCACAATCAGCTTCATGTTCCGTCTGAATCGCCCGCTGAACGGGCGGCAACTGTCGACCTGCTGCTGCTGATGGTGCGAGCGATGTCGCGCTGCTGCTAAACGACGAGCCACGCCAACCAGCGCCCGTGGCGGTGAAGTCCGCCAGCATCTGTCTGTCAGTTTCGATGCACGGGAATGCCGCGTCGATTGCGCCGCTATCTGCTGCAAAACCCATTCTTCCTCTGATGATGTGATTCCGTTGGGGTTAGCGCTGCGGCTGTTGCACCTTTCAGAATCTTCTACTACGACTGCGACGGTGCTTCCTACGTGCGGCGGCCGCGCTGCGTCCTTCGGAGTCGCAACGCGGCGAGAGTTCCCGTAATAAGTACTGCGGAAGCTGTGGCTCGACTCCTGGCTCAACAAAAAACTAATATCTCACAGGGTCAGAAAATCCCTTTTCGTGGAGAGAGGGATGACCAGAGAGTTTCAACGTAATCCACGCCTACCGTTTGAGTGCGAATGCCGCTGCGCTTGTCATTAGTAGGGACGTGGGGCGAGCGACGCGGGGAGTTGCGCGATGCTTCAGGGTATATTGAAACTGCTGTATTATGTACATATATTGAAAATCATAAAAGATTCTGGACTGGAAAAACATAGTTCGGAGCCAGGTGTCGACCGTCAAGACGATTCCTGGCTTGTCCTGTCCCACGGGGAACGTGGGCTGGAAATGATAGGATTCTAGAACGGGTCAATTTTTTCGGCCATAGTAATTGAGACGATGGCATGACCGTAGCTTGAGGTAGAGAACAGCCATGCCTTGTGCTGGCGACGGACGGAACCCAGATAGACACGGCGAGGTGACGGTACACATACCCAGACATGGCTGGCAAGGTGACGGGAAGAACGACGGAGGGGAACCTGGATGTCAAACGACGAGGATGCTTGCTGCTGTGAGCAGGTTTTGCATCCACTACAGTCTCCACGTTGGTCCTAATGCTGCACCGAACGTAAGGGAAGACGACAGCAAAGGCCATAGGAAGGAGGACGCAGGTTGATAATGAGTCGTCTAAATAAATTGTCGCTCCAAGGACATAGACGTACCGCTTTGTAACGTACGGCAACGTAATGTAATGTACTGTCTCTCACTGTAGCCAAGGAAGCTTATCGCAGGAGGGAGATGGAGTTCTTCCAACTGGTGGGGTGGGTGGGAAGGGGGGAGGAGTTGTCCTGATTGCTCGTTTTTGATTGGATTGGTAACGACAGAAAGGAGCTGATGTCGCCGCCCTTCCACCTGTCAAGGCCAATCAACACATTCCAAATTTCAACCGTACCATTCGCGTCGCGTCAGAAAAATGGTCCTACACCAGCCTTGTAGGTACAGAGGCAAACGCTCGAAATTTCCAGAACACCAGGGCTCACATCTGGCTTTTCAAGGGCTGCGTTTGAGAAAAGCCCACAATAGCGTCTGTGAACCAGCACCTTTGCTTGGTAAACAGCACCCGCGCTCAACCTGCTTTAATGTGCAATCTCACATCGATGCAGAACATTTAGTATCACAGTACCCAGACAAAAACGTTGAATATCTCATTCTGTGAAATGGAAAATGTCTCTCATTTACTGGTTTCTGGTGTGTCTTATCATAACGTACCCTAATAATCCATCGATGTACGAGTGGTGCCTCAACGGATTGGGCCGAAAAACAAGTTGCAGCTTTGGCGGCATTACCGGAAGTCCCATACAAAAAGTCCTGTTTGGGGTGCGTCTAGGGTTTATGACGCGTCCCAAAATAGTTCGTATCGCGGCATCCTGATCATCTAGCTTGTGCGAACAGCTGCGAAGCACGAGTGTTACGAGTGCACTCTGTTATGGGTTAACCTGTCTCTACCTTCCACCTCACCTCACGTCCAAGTTGAAAGTGCTCGTCTGGAAACGGGTCATTCACAAACGCGTTTGTCAGCAAATCTAGGGTTGTGAAAAAACCATTCGCTCGGTGTGTACTGTAGTTACCTCTTGCGCGAGCTTCTAGAATCCGGAAGCTGGAATCTACAACATCATCTGAGCTGGTTGTCCTAGTTTAGAAGTATAAGGACCGTGTGTATATTCTTTCAAGTCCCGTCTAGCTGACAAGCCAGCATTCTTTGAGCCCGTGTTCTGGTAAGACTCCTTGCTTGTTCGACAAAGATGGCGACTGCTGGCGTCTCCTCATCATTCCCGCACTCGTCCTCCCACATTCCCGGCGGCAGCGGAAGTGGCAGCGGAAGCGGCAGCGGCAGCGGCGACGAGAGTAGAGACGGCAGGGAGAGCAGCGGCACCATGCCGTCAACTTCCGGAGCTCCTAGTTCAGACGGTAACTTCGAGTGTAACATCTGCTTTGAAACTGCCAACGACCCCGTTATAACGCTCTGCGGCCACCTCTTCTGCTGGGCGTGCCTATATCGGTGGCTTCGCCGAAACCCTCACAATAAAGAGTGCCCCGTTTGTAAGGCTGCAGTCGACGAAGCCAAAGTTATTCCGCTGTACGGCAGAGGCAAAGCGCCGTCCGATCCTCGCAAGAAACCCGTTCCTGACGAAGAC